GGCATAGACTGGAGTAATAGAAGCCTAGAATTTAGATCAAAGGAAGTGTTCTGAGCTGGTGAGTCACATGTAGCATTATATCTAAAGTTTCACATTTTAGGAGGAACATTGAAAAACTAAGGAGAACTTGGAAGATGGTGAGTAAAATGAGAGGAGGCTGGGAACCATGTCATGTGAAGAACTATGGAACAAAGTGGACATGTTTAACCTTGAAAAGAGAAGTTTCTCATAGAAGTTCTCTTCAGATACTTGAATAATCAACACGTGGAAAAGGGAATAAATGTAGTCATCACTCTTACTTCATGGTGCAGAACTGGACAAATGTGTAAGAGTTCTAGGGAGGCATGTTTGGATTGAATAGTAAAAATAACTTTCTGACAATTAAAGTTGCTAAAGGATGGAATTGGCTGCTCCTCCCAGCATGTGATCCCAGGCTCTGGAAATGTTCAGGAAGAGGCTAGATGGCTTCTATGTCAGGAACATTGTAGAAGGAATTCCTACATGGGTGGAAAATTAGCCTGAATGACTTTCAAAGTTCTGTGAAACAGGATTGTGTGAACTTTGGAGCAGCTTCGGGTGGATGAGTGATTGGAAGAGTGTCAGAGTGACTCTAATCTCCTGTCCCATCCTGTCAGCTGGCATGCGGGAAAGTAGAGAAGTGAAATTGCCGTGAGATGCAACAAGAAGTGACATGGCTGGAAGCACTTTCATTTCCTATTTGGTCTGGGTACGGATGTGCTTTCTGAGTCAATGAGGAAAAGAAGGAGAGTCCCACCTCATTAGAGCAGCTTCTTCTTTTCCTTCCCCCTCCCAATCCTACTCTTCCTTCTTAGACTTATTTTCCTTCCTTTTTTTCTGTCTTCTCGCCCACAAAATCCTATCTCTTTATCAACTGCCTCCCTTCATTACGAATCCACAATTACTGATTCAGCTGTGGAGGGAAAGCAGTGGTTCTGGGTCAAAGTGTCTTTTTTTTCTTTTTTGCCCAATATCTCCACCTAAAGGTAAAAAAAAAGATAGGTGGTCTTTTTCCACTGACTCTTTTCTTGTAATACACCTTCTCTGCAACCCTCTGTTGCAGTCCAGCAATGAATTGAAAAGAATTTATGCACAAGTAATGTGGGAGAAACATAAACCAGAATTCTTAGTGAGGCTAGTAGGGGAGATAAGAGAGGAGATAAGAGACAATATTATGGAGAATATGTAGGTTCATTATCAAACTACTGTTAGAGATAATAAACTTCTATCTCTTGAGGAGGGAGAGATCACTATGGACTGGATTCAGGGAAAGTTTCATGGAGGAGGAGGTAGACCTTAAAAGATGGGTAGGATTCAGATACATCCCTGGAGATGAGATGGGAGGTGGGAGGAGGATGGCATTCCAAGCCTGGGGAACTTGGCAATGAGCACTGATTTGTGCTGGGGAATGACTAAAAGGACAGGCCTGCCTGAAGCAGAGGCTTCTGGTGGGGGAAAGTCAAGAGCACTATTTAATTTGACTACAATGTGAGGGGATTTCCCTCCATTGAACCCTTCCCCTGTTTTGTTCAGGCCTGAAGGTGACTCTGGGTTCTGGAAAGCTGTGCCTGCAGAGCATGGCCACTGGCAGGTTCCATCAAGCTGGGAAGGTTTTAAGTATGGGCTGGAGAGGTATGGTATGTGTTTGCCCCAAGGATGGAGCTAAGTTCATAGAGATTTGTCACCCCAGCTTTAGCTATCAACTGATGAATTTTGTCCACATCCACACAGTTCATGAGGACAGTCTGCTAAGCCCTGGAGGGACTGCGTGTCAGTGGAGAGACCACACTAAGGAAATCATGAGTTCTTTGAATATGAAATATTGAAGTGAGGAAACTTCATGGCATTGACTATTTGCAGCTGAAGTTAATTACAAACATGATTTTCTAAGCTCAGCTCAGCTTAAAGGATTTATCAGTCCCTTCCAGGCACTGCCTATGGTCATGCTTCTTTGCTGTGTCCATTTTCTTGTAAGTCCTTATACCCCTCCTCTAAGGGTTACAGTTTGAGCCAATGTACTGAACTCCCACCCTCCAGCTTCTGTCAAACTGTTACTTTTAGACCTAATCTTGCCCTCTGAAGGTCTCCTGTCTTTCTTTTGGGGGCTCTAGCAGTACACCTCCTTTTGCTATATAGACCTTGAAAGTATCAGTGTAGATAACTCCCTCACCAATTCCACCTGGCTCTAACCTTCAAAATGTTGTCTTCTCTCTCATTTCTTCTTCTAGCCTAAACATAGGCTCTCTGTGTATCCTTAGGCTCTGGACAGCCACACTGAGTTATTTTTTACTCTTTTTTTGTCATTTGGTTCCCTCCTCCTATCTGTACATAGTTTTCTTGAATCAATCAGGTAGCTCTTTATAATTCTACCTCTCACCAGAGGACTCCCTGATACAATATCTCTATTAGATATTCACAATATGTATTTGCATATCAGTAACTTGGTTGACATTTTTGAGATCTGTGGCTTGTTTGAAGAAATAGATGGCATGTTTATCAAATCTGCAGATGACACGAGGCTAGGAGGGAAACTTGACATGAGAAATAGCCAGAATTGAGCTTCCAAAAGATCTCATCAGGTTAGAAGTCTAGGCTGAATCCAGGAAGATGAAATTGCATAAGTATAAATGTACAGACAATGCACTTAGATTAAGAGAAACAAAATCAATTGCACAAGTATAGAATAGGGGAGATGTGGCTAAACAGCAATTGTGTCAAAAAAAATCTCTCTCTAAACACAGTGGAGACAGCCCAGGACCCTGAACCCAAGATCCTTGGGAAAACAATGCTTCCAACTCAGTGCCCTTAAGCATCATCCTGGAAAACAAATTATGTAGGGTTGGAACCGGGCAATTTCCGCTGCTGCAGGACCTTCAGCCTCAGCTAACAAAGGCCCAGAAAGGAAAGCTCTTGTCACTACAGTCCTTGACGTTGTCAAAAGGCTCAACATCAGAAACTGGTATGAGTTTTAACAGCAGAAATGACATTAAAGGTGGGGCATTACCATCTACTTTGTCATTGTCTAAGGAGCATGGGCCCTTTCCATCTGACTTGCTGCTGAAACCTCCAGGATGTATTGTCTTTCCTATTAGAATGTGAGCTTGTTGAAAGCAGGGACTGTCTTAGCTTTCTATTCATACAGTACTTAACAGGCACTTAACATTTTTTTTTTCATTATTTTGAGAAGGGGTCCATAGGTTTCATCAGGCTGCCAAAGGGTCCCATGAGGGGCCGCTAGTGGATAGAGCACTGGCCCTGGATTCAGGAGGACCTGAGTTCACATAACACATAACAATCACTAACTGTGTGACTCTGGGCAAGTCACTTAACCCCAATTGCCTCACCAAAAAAAAAAAGGGTCCCATGACACAAAACAGGTTAAGAACCTCCAAACTAGATGATTTCTAAGCTCCATTAATAATAATAATAGCTAACTATATAGCATTACTATATGCCAGGCATTGTGCTAAGTGGGCTTAGTGATTTACAATTGTTATCTCATTTAATCCTCACAATAACCCTGAAAGATAGGTGTTATTATTATCCCCATTTAAGAGATAAGGAAATTGAGACAGAGTTTAAGTGACAGTTAGTAAGTGAGGTTTGACTTGAACCTGTCTTCCTGATTCTAGGCCTGTCATTGTATTTACTTGGCCACTTAGCTGCCTCATTTGATTCATAAGAAATGGTCTCTGACCTTAAGAAATTTACATTCTAGTTAGGGAGAAAAGATATGCAACAATATTCATAGTAATTTATTTTTATATAGCACATTAATGTTTGCAAAGTGTTTTTCTCACAACAACTCTGTGATGTAGGAAATATAAGTTTCATCACCATTTCAGAGATAAAGAAACTGAGCCTCTAGGAGGTAAAAATAACAATAAAAATCACATAGCTAATGAGGATCAGGAGTAGGATTCAAACCCACACAAATATATTGACAGCAATTCAGCCATTAATGAGGATAGTAGGTGATACTCTATATAAAAAAACTTTGTAAGCTGCAAAGCAATCTCCAAATTTCAGCTATTATTGTTAAAGGAGGAAAGACATATGAAAAAAGATACTATCTGCATCCAGAGAAAGAACTGATAAGTAGAAGTATGTATAGAATACTTTGACATATATATATATATATATATATATTTATACACTTATTTGTGTCTAATGATAGCCATCTCTAGGGTGGGAGGAGGGGAGGAAAGAAAAAAGAAAGGAAAAAATGAAATTTACATTATAATTTTGTTGTATATTTGAAAAGAAAGCAAGTTGTGCATAGTAGATTTGCAATTTCATATACTCTTTTTATCGCACTGTGTTATAGAAATGCTTATTTTATTCCATAAATGAAAAATAAAATAAATAGAAACTGAGAAAAAGAAAAAGAGAGCCTCCATTTCCTCAGTGAAGCAATTGGGTTAAAGGATCTCTCCAGGCTATTCCAGTTGTAACCAAAGTTCAGAGGAGCCAGAGATCCTCGAATACAGAACAGTCAGGAAAGCTATCATTAAGGAGGTGAAACTCATGTGGGGTTTTGGAAGATGGCTAGGATTTGGCTAAGCAGAGAGGAGGAGGGAAAACATTTCATGTAGAGAAAATACCAAGAACAAAGGCAAGAATGTGCATGGAATAATGAGTATACTTGCCTGATTAACAGTGAGAGTTCATGTGAGCCAGTTAGTAAGGTGGAATCAGATTATTGATGTAAAGTGGAGGAGGAATAATTAATATTTGATTCATACAGCGATGTTTGACATCTGACAGCACAGAAGTGGGTGAGAGTAAGATAAGCTTTGACACAGAGGATGTACAGTCCAAATCTGCTACTTTGTACCTTTGTAACCCTGGGCCAGGCAAGGTGGCCTCGATTATTGCTTCCAGGTATAAATTTTATGAACTGCAAGACAGGCTTGTGTATTATCTCGGGTTGACCAGATGATGTCCACTGGGGATTAGAAAAGTATGACACACGTTGCTACTGGAGGTTCTGAGACTGATTTTTATTTGGACCTCATCCCCAAACACCAGGACCATTCATTTTCATCTTATGGCAGCCAGGTTGCTGAGAGATGTGGTGAAGCCAAGATTGAGCCCGACCATCACTCTTTATGGTGAACTGTGGTGGTATTCATCATGGCAACCACAGTGGTAGCAGAAACTGAACAAGTGGTGAGAGGACGGAGCAGGCTCCAGGATGAGTAGGCAGGTAAGGTAAGAAGACATCACTCCCTCGTTGCAGTCCTTGAGTAGTGAGACTAAAGAAGTCCTTCAGAGTCCTGAGAATAGTGAGCAAACACTGTGTTCAAATGTTTTGTAACTGGAGGAGCTGGTAAAAGGGCCCTTAGAGATGCAACAGTAAAATTCAAATGTTGCCTAGGGGCTAAGCCAAGGGTAGGGATTTAGCCATCATTGTGAGCTATCATGAGTGGCTACAGAGATTCAATCTGTCTGAGTTCAGAGCTAAGAATCTGAGCAATAGGTTACTAAGGGATATGGAGTTTAGATTTGACTGAAGAAACAGAGAGTCACTGAAAATTCTTAAGGGAATAACATTTGATAGCAGAGTTTTAAGACTAATCTGGCAGAAAAATTTGAGCAGAGAGAGAAGGAAGACAAGCAGGACAGCTAGGAAGCTATAGCCACAATTCTGTCATCTTCTAATAATTCTATAATCCTCTGGACTATGGTGGTCACAGTGTGGACTAAAGGAAAGAGGTTTCAAAGGAAGAAAGAACAGGGTTTGGTAAGTAGTTGACCATAAACAGGGGTGTACTGGAGGCAACTGACACTGGCTCATGAGAGCCCATTGTTAAATTTTCGATGTGAGCATTTACCTTTACAAATGCCACCAATTGGGGCTAATATCATTGTTTCATTGATTGTCTAGACTTAAGAAAGTGATGGAGAAAATATTAATAATGCAAATTAAACATAAAAGTGTGTCATACATTTTTTCCCCAGACGGCCTGTTGTAAGCCTTTACCATTACACCACTGACTGTAAGTATTGAAAGAAAGGGATGAGTCGAAGATGACTCTAAGGTTTCCTGTATGGAACACCAGGAAAATATAGAAATGAGATGGAAACTTGGGGGAAAGAGAATTTTGGGGGGATAAACTGAATTCTAGAAAAGAGACCTCAAGTTTTCTTGTATAAATGATAAATAAACCTGAATAGGAACCCCTTCCCCTGAAAGTCTCCAGTAATGAGGGAGTCACTACTTGTTAAGGCAGCCCACCGCAATTTGGGATAGCTCTAGTTATAAGGAAATATTTTCTGAAAACTGACATATATACAGTCAATTTGAAGTGACTGAGGAACATTAAGGTGGAGAAGTCCTATAGCAAACATTATTTCCATTTTGAACGGAACTACATCAGACATTAAGAAATAACCTTTATTGTCACAAATATGGGAGAAAGTATAATACAGGAAAGGCCCCTCTGAGATCCCCAGGGGAAGAACCTCTGCCCTATGGATTCTCAGCTCAGGGGGGGCCTCATCTCCTCTCAGAAGGAAATCCCCTGGAAAGATGCCTCCTGTAGTAGTGGTTGCAACAGAAGTGAAGAAAACCAGGATGCGGCACCAACAATTCAGTCTGAGGAGGGAATGAGTTAGTAGTTGGAGAGAGCTTTCCCTTACCTAAAACCCCTATACCTAAAACTCCTATTGTTTGCTTGCATCCCATGCCAGCTCAGTGTCAGATAATATGTCTTCTGCCTAGGAAGCATATTCTCAATAAAGTTTTCCCTACAACCTCCCCCGACCATATTATCCATATTATGCCCCTTATTCTTTCCCATATCACAAATCCTATAATTCACTCCCATGTATGTTGATTCATATATGTGTGTGTACATATATATGTGTGTGTGTGTACATATATATGTGTGTGTGCGTATACATATACACACATACATATATATCTTTATTATTGTTCAGTTGTTTCAGTCATGTCTGACTCTTCATGACCCTACTTGGGGTTTTCTTGTTAAAGAGCAGTTTGCCATTTCCTTCTCCAGATCATTTTACAGATGAAGAAACTGAGGCAAGCAGGGTTAAGTGACTTGCCAAGGGTCACATAGCTAGTAAGTGTCTGAGGCCAGATTTAAACTGAGGTCTTCCTAACTCCAAGCCCTGCATTCTATCCACTGTACCACCTAGCTGCCCGATATACATACACACACATTTATGTTATATGTTTATATTTAAGTTGATTTTATATATATAAGAGATGAGGTTCTGGCTTCCCAACTAGAAGATAAACTCCCTAAAGACAGGGATAATATTTGTTTCTTCTGATTCCCCACTTAGTACCTAACAAAAGACCAAACATCCTTTGCATGGCCCTTGACTAACGCCATGAGTTGCTGTTCCTCCTATGCCTCTGGTCTCACTCCTTACAATCTTAGGTTCACTCCACCCTCCCTCCAGTTATCCCCTGCCTTCTTACCTGCACCACTTGCACATGGTTTTTGGAAGTAGATGATGAGTGCAATACCCACTATGATGCCAACAATTCCCAGGCCAAAGGCAATGCCACAGAGTATATTTTCCAACAATTCAGAGGGTATTGGATTCTGAGGCACTGGACACAAGGAAAGGGCAGAGTCAGCTTTCAATGCCAGAGCAGAAAAGGGATGGCCTAGTAGATAGATCTAGGAAGGAAAGGCTAAAGGGGAAACTGAGGTCTTGAGGACTATGTTGGAGTTCAAGGGGGGAAAGAAAAAGACAGGAAGCTCCTCCCTCATAGGCATCCATATGCCATTCCTTCCCTTCCCCCAGGGTACCCAAGCACCAGGAGGGAAGACCTTACCCCAGAAGGCTATAGTGCTGAAGAGGTCACCTTCCCGTGTCACAATGCAAGAGAAGACATCAGAGGATGTGGGTGTGAAGTTCAGATAAGAGAAGGCCTGGAAGCCAAGTCCATCGATAGCTGAGAGAAAAGTGGGGCTGCTGCTTTGCACAGGGACTTGGTGGTGCTGCCAGCTCACAGTTACTTGAGGTGGGAAGATGTTACTAACAAAGCAGATGAGAGTGTTGGGCTTCCCAAACTCCAGGGGCTCCAGAGTGAAAACTTCAGCCACAGGGTTTCCTAGAGGAAGGTGGTAAAGGGAACAAGCTTGAGGATGATAATGGAGGGAGAAGTGATCAGGAGGGTGTTTGGTTTGGGAGCTGTGTATAGGAGGAAGGAGGAAGGCAACAGAGGAAGGGTGGGTTATAGGAGCTGAAGGTGGGGTGAGGGACTGGGGCAAAAAGAAGGGCTTTCATCAAAGGAGCAATTCCAACAATTTCAGAACTAGATTTGGATTATTGTTATTGATAATAGCAATAATAATAACAGCAGCTTGCATTTATCTAGCACTTTATGGTTTGCAAAGTACTTTACAAATATTATCTCATTTGATCCTCACAACAACCCTGACAGGTAGATGCTATTATTATTATATTTCTTTTACAGATGAGGAAACTGAGGCAAGCAGAAATGAAGTGACTGCCCAGGGTCACATAGCTAGTAAGTATTTGGATGATAGTGATCCCAGGCATGGGAGTGAGGGTGAGAGGTAGACCATGCCATATACTTGCTGTATATTGTCCCCAGTGCTAAGTGCAGCATCAGCCATTCCACACAAGTCAGGTAAATTAATTGGAACGTTTGTCTGGTCTCTTACCCTCCTCCCACCTCCAGATTGGGCTCTGAACACAGGAAACAAAATCAGAATCAGAGTTCGAGAGTTGGGAAGGAGGGAGGGGACTTAGAAAGGGGAAAAAAGAATCAGGGGCTATAACCTTTCCCCCCAATGTTGACTCCTGACCTCTAGCCTCAGGGATTTTGCCTTCCAAAGCTGAACTCAATTCTTTTTGCAGTTCCTGGCAGAGCTGCTGGTCGGCTTGTATGGCCTTAATATCTCTCTTGTCACTGGCCCAAGCAGCAAACTCAGGGAGCCGGGGTACCCGGGAGTTCCTGGAGAAGTCAAAGGAGAAGAGCTGGTCCTCATTGAAGGCCTCAGACAGACCCAGGACAGGTTCCTCATCCTGGCAGAACAGTGTGTGAGAGAATGTGTAGTTCTGTAGGCTCTTCCCCAGTAATGATGCCAACACTGCTGGGAAGATGGACCAGAGACATCAGTCAGGAAAAGAACAGACCCTCTTTCCCTCTCTGTCCCTTGTCACACCCAGCCTTTGACTTAGTGTCCACAGCACCTGATTGAAGAGATGGCAGGGCTGTGAACTTAGGGCCCCCCTCTCAACAAGAAGAAGAGGAATTCATGGCAGTTCGACTCCCATCTGCCCACAAATGGGTTCTAACTTCCTCCTCCCTATCTGCTATGTTGTATGAAGAGCCAAATCCCCGGCCCTTACCGGGAAGATTAGAGGTGAAGGAAGAAACTTCAATGGTCCCCCTACATTACTATGTAATCCATATTGCATAGGGAGGTTTTTCCCTAGGTGTTTAGACCTAGATGTGACTTTGGGATCAACTAGTCTCATTCCTTGATCTCTAAATTCCACCTCCCTATCTCCCTCCCCCCACAAAAGGACTATTCTCACATCTTGACAACATAGGGGAAGTAGCCTCAGGAGTTAAGGGGACGACCAGGAAATATAGGAGAAAGAGCAATAGATCTCCCCAAATAGGCAGTACATTCCTCTATTTTCCCCACATATTAGAATGACTTCCTTGATGTTCGGTTCCCACTAACTATGCACCTCAGTGCAATGCCCACTTCATACCTGGAGTGTCTCCCCAGGACAGGGATAAAAGCAGTGATGGCTGCAGCTGCAGCAGTAACAGTGCAGCTCCCAGGCTTTGCTCAGGTCCCATGTCTGGCTCTTTATTCCACACACTGGGCTCCAACCTCCTACTCCAGCCGAGCTAATTTCCTTCCACGCCCCCAAGCTTCCCCTACAGAAGGTAACCCCAAGCCTAGAACTGGCCACACTCTGTCCTCTAATCACTGTCCTTACCGCTGAGGATGAACCAATCATTGCAATACTATATGATTGCATCACCAGTTGCTCAGGCAAGTCCCTCAGCCCAGAGGACACAACAGGTCTTGGCTCTTTTGAGAGATCACAGAAGAAGAACTGAGGAAGAACTTGTGACACTCAGTAGGGATTCCTGTCTAGTGTTAGGATAGCAGCCTCAGCCTGGGTAGTCTACTCTGCTCTTACCCAAGTGGACAGTTGTTTTCAGGCCATCATGCTAAGTGAGAGAGCAGATTAAGTACTAGACTTGGTAATTAGGAAGCCCTGAGTTTGAATCCTGCCTGAGACACTCACTAGCTGTGTGACCTGGGCAAGTCACTTAGCCTTTGTCTGCCTCAGTTTCCTCATCTCTAAGGTAGGGACAATAATAGAGCCTACTTCATAGGGTTGTTGTTGTGAAGATCAAATCGATCAATCAATAAACATTTAACAAATGCCTGCCATGTGCTATACTAAGCGCTGAGGATACAAAAAGAGACAAAAGACTCAACCCTCAAGGAGCAATGATATTAACCAAATGAGATAATTCATGTCAGTAAAGCACTGTCCAGTTTTTAGAGTGGAACATAAATGTTAGTTAATATTATTCCACCCAAAGGTTAAATGGATATTCATGGGCTGGCTGGAGAACTCAGCCCCTGAAGTTAAAAGACATGCACACATGCATTATTTTTGTACGCCAAATGCCAAATAGCTGGCTTATAAATGAACTTTTGGAACGTGGCCCATATGTCACCTAGATATTCTGCAAATGGTTTTTACTTGGACATATGATACCTGTACATCCAGCACAAGAAAGAACAAGAAAAGTTTGCATCTCTGGGGGAAAATGCACCAAAAAGGGGTTACATTATTTGCTTTAAATTGCTTGATTTAAATATTATTCCAAGTATCCTTGGTGAAGTCACTGGAAGGAGAGAGATCAGGCACACCTCCATTGTAAGGTTCAAATCCCTCTCTCTCCTTAGCATGCACACACACACACACACACACACACGTTCACATTCCTCTCAATAACTACAAGATAATATTATTTTCCAGGAAACTCCATTGAAGCCCATGTCCATCTCTGTGTCCTCAGCAAAGGTAATTGAGATGGTAGACGTCAGGGACCTGTGCTAGGCAGGGATGTTCTTCTTTGAGGTCTCTGGCAGGATCTTCCTTTTGCCTTAATTTACCCTGAAATTCAGCAAAGTCCTGCCTGTCTTCTCCCCAACACAAACATCTGTGTATCATACTAAGAAGCACTCAATAGAAAACATGTAAATTCAATGATGATTTTTTTTTTTTTGGTGAGGCAATTGGGTTTAAGTGACTTGCCAAGAGTCACACAGCTAGTGTTATATGTCTGAGGTCAAATTTGAACTCAGGTCCTCCTGACTCCAGAACCAGTGCTCTATCCACTGTGCCACCTAGCTACCCCTCAATGAGGATTTTGATCCCTGTATGTAAAGGTAAGTGGAGAATCTTTCCAACCTATTTAGCAGTAGAATGATCAAGTAACCTCCAAAGGTAAAGGACTGAATACTCATCTACCTGCACCCTTGATCTCAGCCCTTCTTCTCCCACAGATTGCCCCCATTATCATCCATACTCTCTCATCTTCAGTCTCTCCCTATCTCCTCTCCTTCCCTGTTGCCTACAAACACTTCAATATGTTTCCAGGCAGAAAAGTGGATAGCCTGCTGGGCCTAGAGACAGGAAGTCCTGAATTCAAATCAGGCTTTCAATACTTACTACCTCTGTGACCCTGGGTAAATTGCTTAATTCTGTCTGCCTCAGTTTCCTCTACTGTAAAATAGGGACAATAATAACACTTACTCCACAGGATTGTTGTGAGGATCAATTGAGTATCTGTAAAACACTTAGCTCAGCACCTGGCATATAGTGAGTTCTTCCCCTTCCATGTCTCCCCTGTCCTTCCAAAGGGGTGTAGGGGTGTCAGGGAAGACTAGTACCTCTGGCGTGTACATCAAGAGTTGAAAGAATTGGACACAACTGAAAAACTTTTTTTTTTTAATCATTAACAAGGGTTTGGATGGCAAGCCTAAGAATTCGTTTATCTAGTTGCTTAGGTTGGGAATTCCACCAAAATTCCTTTCTATTAGCATTCTCCTGTAATAACCCAGAGATGTTTGACTATTGAAGCAATGAAATTCATTACACACACACACACACACCTTTTGGGTATTGCAACAATAAGATTCATTATTCATATTTACATATATATGTATGTGTATATACATATACACACATATACCTCTATAATTTACTGTGATGGTTATAGAAATTTCCTATGAAAGGAAGGAGGGACATGCTTATAAAAATATCAAGACTGTCCCTTCAAGAGCACAAACTGACATGATATAAGTGTAACAGGATAAAGTTTCCTTGGCTCTGTTTGATTCTAGGAAAGAGTCATAGTTAACTTTTTGAAACAGCCAATTCTGCAGCAAAGGTCCATGTTATACACAGGATATCATAGCCAGGCTTAGGATTAGTCTGGTGGGAAAATATCCTGTTCAGAATGAAAACAGCAAAATGCGGAGTCAAGAGTATCCTGCCATTGTAAGAACCTTTTCTCAAATTCCCCAAGTGCAGACACCCAGTAGTTTTCAGATCACACTCCCTTTGAGCAGCACATGGCATTTCTCTTGAATGGTGGATTATTGATTTAATGATTGTTTAGACACTTATACTTGAGTTCAGAACAGTGTCAAATTACAATCCAAAGAAATGTTACCTAAACACAGTTTAGGGCTAGGTACAGTTATTATCATTTTTTTCATGTTGTTGCAATAAGTTAATGATAAGCACATATAAGGCCTTATCTTACTCATCTAGTTTAAATCCATCCTAGAGCAGGAATCAATCTTAATTTCTAATTAAGAAAATAATCACATTCTATAATTACACATAATCAATGAATACATGATAGTTCACTTAAAACCCATAAAAACTCCAGATACTTTTTAAGCCTCCAGACTAACAGATATCCATATCTTAAGCTATTGCATATTAACTCCTAAAAAATAAAATCTTTAAAACTGGGGTTTGTTGAGACTAAGATGACTTAACAGTATATCAAAACATACTATTCCAGATGCACTTCTATAATTTCCATAACCAATGGCTAAACAATCTATCAGATAAAAATTACTTCTTATAAAACAAATTTGTAAGCCCCCTCACCTCAGCTCTGAGTGGTCCTAGTTTCTCATTAAACCACTTCATTACTTTAGAATTTCACAATATGCTGTCAACAAGACTAAGTGTTTGTGAACCTTCCCAAATAATAGAAGGTCCCAAAGAACTTGATGGGCAGGTAGGTGGCAAAGTGGATAGAGCACCTAACAAGTTAGGAAGACTCATCTTCCTGAGTTCAAATCTAGCCTCAGACACTTACTAGCTGTGTGACCCTGGGAAAATCACTTAATCTGTTTGCCTCAGTTTCCTCATCTGTAAAAATGAGCTGAAAAAGGAAATAGCAAACACCCAGTATCTTCTGCCAAGAAAACGCTAAATGGGGTCATGAAGATTCAGATACAATTGAAATGACTGAACAATAAAAAGAACCTAATAAGTCCCCCCCAAAATTTCACAGATAAGGGGAGTTTACATGGTCTATTGTATTTTTCCCAAACTATAATTTATTATTATTAATTTTAAAACAAAACATACCCAATTAAATACTTAACAGTTTTAAAATATTGTTCTCTAACAGTTCAATTAATAATCTAACAGCATTCAGATTAAAAGAGAAATTAATTATATTACCCCCTAGGTATCATTTTTCAAATTAACAGCATTTCTTACAAAATGATTTCTTAAAAATCACAATACAAGAAAAATTAGAAGCCTAACAATAACATAAACAATATTATGGATTTTTAAACATAAAATAAAATTCATTGTCAGACAAATTAAATCAATTCAATTGAATGCATTTCTGAATTATCAAAAATATATTATTCTTACTACAAATAATGAATAATTTGAAGCCCACCTGAAAGCTCTTTAAAGCTGTGTTTATGATTTACAGTGATTTGGGGTTACTTTTAGTCATTGTTTCTATTCAGGTTTGATGAAACATGAAAACTAACTCAAGGGAAGCTTTTTGTACCCTTGTGGGAAAGTTCTACTTATTTTTTTCTGTCCTGTCTATAAATTCACCATGGTTATTTTCTCCCCAAATCTAATAAGGCTAAGAGACTTTTACCTTGGGTGTTTTATTAGTTTATGATACTGTGATTCTGAATATTGAGTTAATCTTTTGGTTGCTGAAAAAAATGTTATTTTGCATATATTTGTCCTCATATTAAAAAGTACAAAGAAGGGTAATTTATAATGATTTCTTCATTTTCCTTAACATGATTTCAGGTATTTACAAATACAGTAACTGTAAATTTAAAAGGTTTTAAGTGTTTGTTTCAGGATACTATGCTTATTAAAATTTCAATATACTTTATATGTGAAGTACAAATAAATTCTTTGAAGGTTACCATGTTGTCAGTGTTTTCCCAAGAAGTTTGAATATCAAGTTAAATGAAAGTTAAATAAATGTAAAATATATATATACATATTATTCTGAATTAGAAAATTACTTCAGCCACCTATCAATTTGGCATTCTATACTAATTGCATTCAGATACCAATATGGAGTAATTTTGAAGCAATTACACTTCTAATTCTTATTCATGCATTTTGTAAACATATTGCCAAATATTAAGTGTATTTTGTATTAAAGTCTGATTTACTTTTAGAAAGTCAAACATCACATTTATCCTAACAGTAGAACACATTTTTTTTTAATGAAACCACATTATAAATTAGTTTAGGACAAACTCAATCAATTCAAATCTGGATTTAGAATTATGAATGGCATTGTTCAAAATCCTAATTTTCCCAAGGGCCACTAACTGTA